AGACGGTCACGTGGAAACGAAGAACGCAAAGCGCTGAAATTGGGGAGGATGGTAAGCTTAGGGCGCACGTGTCTTCCACGGAGGAGAATCAGCTGTTGCTTATTATGGATGCCAGCGAAGTGATCAGCTTGATAGCAAAGCAAGCGCTGTTGGCGCACGTGATTGGAATCAGATCGGCGTTCGACGATAAACGGATCTCGCTTGGTCTTTATGGAATGCGCAACTATTTCGAGTGATTGATTTTACCAATCCTTATGTATTTAGCATTGATTTTCTTTTCCGTTTTTGCAGACGCAGCAAAAGGCACAAGGGTGAGGTGAAGAGGCGCGATTTCGAGTTCGCATTGACCGAACTGCAGTTGATGTGCTCTTGCTGTTATCGCCTCATCGATACGCCGCAAGATTTGGGCAACATGATCTCGCAATTCACTAAAGCCATCGCACAAGCGCCGTACAAGTAATTATTTGCACTTCAATTGACCGACGTCTCAAAGATGTTGATGATGTTCGTAACGTTTAGATTGGAGAAGCAGGAAAAGTACGGTCAATCGGAATGGTACATGTCCGGGGATAATAAGGATTGCGTCAGAGTGGATAAAGATGGAAACGGGTTGAAGCGACTCTGGCAGCAGCACCTCACGTCCCTTCCTCTGGTGAGGATTGAAACGGCCGAGGCCATCACCAACAAGTATCCAACGTACGAGGACTTGCGCCAGGTAATTTAAATGTTTTAAAGAGTGTTGTGGTAGATTCTACGTAATTTGATACAGGCTTACGAGAATTGCATGGATGATGATGGGGAGCGGGAAAGGATGCTGCAGGATCTGCCGATCAGGAGGGCGGCTGGTCCATTGACGAACGTGCGCAGGATAGGGCCGGAGCTGAGCAGGAAAATCAGCGTCCTCTACAATTCTTCAGATCCAGACGCTCTTCTTTAAACTTGAAAAAAGGTCAAAGGTAATCATTGATCATGTTCGAAAACTGTTCTCTAATTTCTCAAATCCTTCTAGGACATCACTTCCAATCATAAATATATACATATTTTTCAAAGTTTTAGATTATCTAAATGTAACGAAAAGATAATAATAATAAAAAAATAACATTTAAATCTACAAGTAAAGAATTAGTGCAGATCGCCGAAAGCCGTGAAGTCCATGGATTCGTCGACTTTCTTCTCGCTCGGTACGAAATTTGATTTGGAGATGGCTGTGGCGACGAGCTCGTTCTCTAAATCGAAATCCATGGACGACGAGGAGGCCGACACATTCTCCGCCTTCATCGTGATCGCCGTAGGTATGTTCTTCACCGCTTTCCTGGTCTCCTCGATGCTGGTAGGCGCTTTCGACAGAATAATTTTGGCATACTTTATAGGATTCGGTTTAGGGTTGCTCGGCGCCGGCCTCTTGAGGATGTTCTGCGCGTAAACACCGCTACCACCGCTCTTGTTGAGGAACAGCAATTTTCCGCTTGAGGTGGTTTTTATTTGCGGCGTCGTCGTGGTCGTCGTCTGCAGTATCTGTGCTGGAGGCGTGTCACTCGGCTGCATCGTGTTGTTGGTCAACATTTGGTTATCATCAGCGAAGATAATCGGTAAGTCCATAATATCTTGAGACGTCAAATTCGTGGGCGGCGGCAACGACTGCTGCGACATCCCGGTCGTCGTTATGTAAGGTGGCAGCTTCTTTACCATCTTGTTCTTGTTGGCGAGCAGCTGTTTCTTGGACGTTATATATTTAGTCAAACCTAGAATGATCAAAATTAATTTAAAAAGAACGACATTATATATTATTTAATTCGCGAAGCACTAACTTGACTTTGCGATGGAAGTTGTTGTGTGTGGTGTGTTTGCTTGGACTATTTTGCTCTTTGGATAGATTAAAGTTGATGTATTGGTACCTCGAATGCCGGGATCGCTCCTCTTGATCTTCCCGTCGGGCATGAGCATTACGTTACCATAGTTACTACTCAGATTCAGTTTGTTGGCGTTGAACATCTTGAGCGACGTTATATCCTGGTTTCGGCTGATCAATTTACCTGGACCAGATTGAATGGTTAGGTTCTCCAATACTGAAATTTAAATCAAATTTAAACAATGTTTGGACGAACGAAGATGATGATTTTCCAAACCTTTGATCTGTTTAGTCGTTGGATTGGGAGGTATGGTTCGAACACCGCCTGTTCCTTGCAGTAAATTGGAAAGAGTGCTTCCTCCTTGGTAGATGTTCCTCGTGGATATACCCATGGCGTGTAACTTGGCTAAAGTGGAGAGATTCAATGATGATCGTGTAATCGTGCTTAAATAACAGTTTACTCACCAGATATAGGTGATAGAGGTGATTTTGTTGTTATTTGGTTAGATTTGATGGGGATGTGTGTAGGTGTTTTGGGTGGGTCCGGTTCGGGTGTGTTCGGTTTTGATGATGATGTCGTGGGAATACCTTGTTGCATAGCGTGCCATTTATTTTCCAGTCTAGTCTTCGATTTGGAGCCGGGCGGTCTTCCAACTGTATTCAGAAAAGGTAGTTCATTATCAAAGTAATTGCCGAATTAGTAACATCAACAGCTCTAGCGAAAGCCTCTACCAAGTGTATACACATAAAGATAGATTACGAAACATCACGTGGCGTTGTCTACGGAAAGCAGAACACTTACGAACAGGGGATAAACATTGACCTGGTCTACTGATCCGGGGCGTGGGCGACGGAGGTTCGCTGTCCAAAGAACTTCCGTTCGAGTTGTTCCGCTTCCTCTCCATCTTGCTCCTCTTTATCATTTCAGGCGGGACGTGCGCCGGAGATTGCCGAATCTGCGGCGGATACGGAGACAACAGCAAACCGCTTATAAACTCGCCCAATTCATCCTAAAGATACATTGCATTTAATCAACCTAATCCGAACTCATCGATATGTTCATCCACTCACGACAATACACCTATCCACTATACTTTGGGTAATTCCCTCAGCTCGTTTCTTTTTCTTCGAAATCCGCAGGTAATCATCGGCAGATCCTACTACCAACAGACCAGTTTCCACGCGCATTCTTTCTCTGATGTCTTCCATATGCTCCTGTCTATAATTTAAGAAGTATAATTAATGCGAGTGTTGTTTTTTTCTTCGAGATAATGAGACTTACAGTGCGGTATTGGAACACTGTCCTATGACGAACAGTGCAGGGCATTGCAGCTCCAGAAGGTTATCATCGGTGTCGCCTCTGTTACCTTCAGCGGTATGAATGGAAAAACCTAAGCATAGAATGCACAAGACCACCTCGACTTGTGCTACCTGCAAAGCCAAAGCTGCTCCAGTATTGAAACCCGCTAAAACGATCGGCCTGTTCGGGAATTCCGTCTTGATTTCCTGTATTTTCGCCCTGGTCGCAGCGAACATTTGGTCGACACAATTCATCATGGTATGTTTATGACCGGCCGCTCCTTAAATAATGTACACATTACTATCGAATTGAACTCTCATCAGATTCTTCCAACCTATGTTATTGTACACTGTGCAGACTGTAGCCAAATTTGAGAACAAGTTGTTCCATCTATGCAATCGTCTCGAGTACATAGCGGCCGTTGTTGACGGGGCGCTAGGTACAATAATTATAATCGGATTCCCCGTCAGTTTCTTGGGCTTGTCTATGTTCAAGCTGGCCGCCACCGGATCCCAGGGCCTCTTCAGCAATGGAAACAGACCCTCAGTGCTCAAAGGTCCAGTCTTATTGTGGACGTTAGGTCCGAACAGCATTTTATCCACAAACATTGGAAGCTTGTGCTTCAACGTTTGCAGTATATCCAGGTAGGCGGCCAAATACGAGGTGCCCAAATTCTCGATGAGCAGTTGATGCAGCCATTGCGCCAACTTTATGTCCCACGAGTATTTCGCCATCAACTGTCTGAAGCGTTTCACCGACTTCTCGACGGTAGTCCTCCTCAGGATCGGTTCATTGTGAGTGTTCGTGTACGCCAATCGGGACATCCTATCGCTGTTCAAAATATTCACCATCACACCGAACATCTGATTCTGACTGCTGCTCCACGATATACGTTCAATTTTCTCCTCCCAATCGTCGACGTCTTCGTCGTTCCTCGAGAATTTCGCGTGCCTCTCGCACTCCTCCATCAAGCGTTTGCCTTTGCCCACATCGTAAATTAAAGGCGTCTCTTGCGGGTCACTCTCCACGTCGATTTCCTCCTCCGATTCTCTGACACTTTTCTTCTTCCTCTGCGGCACAAACAGCGTCTTTGTGGGTCTCAAGAAGTTAGACTCTGACTTCCAATTGTACGGCCTAGCATAGCAATGTTCCATCATAATATGTTTCAACCCACTGCTCTGCTCTGTCATTGTTTTGTTGGGAGGATGCTTGTGTGCGTTGTGCACTTCCGATATGCTGTTCCTGTATACATCCATTGGGCTTAACAAAGGTGACGTTGGATTGCCCTCCTGCATTTGTGACATGGTGGATTTCTGAATTTGTTGTTTGTTCTTTGGGTAGGGGGGCTTGGTGAGAATCTGTTGTTTTCCAGGGAACTGCATCTGCCTTATGTGCGTTCTGCCCGTTTCAGGTAATTTCTGTTTGCATAGAGTGTAATCAATATAAACATAACCTAATGATTAAATAATTAGCGAATTCCTTACCATTTCTTCGTCCGTCGTGTCCATGGGTTCGCCTTTCGAATACTCGCCCGAGTCCATATTTCTTTGTTTCCAACAACAAAAATAAATAAACAAAACAAAACAAAAGTGATTCTTCTTTCTTTCCGCGCTACTTGATGTTATTCTCTTTTATTCCTTTCATCACCATCGAGGTCAAACGAACTAAAATGCATTCAATTAGAACTACTCACCGCTTTACCTCTCATATCTCGATCAATATACACATTTCTAATTATAAGATTTCATTCAAGTAAAGAATAAGTGCAGAAAGTATAAATACTTGGGTATAATGTGTAAAAATTACACTTTTTTCCTCGAGTGTTAACATTACTTAATTTGAATATTGAATCTAGCAAATGCTAATAAAGTTTTATAAAAATAAAGTTGAATTAGAAATAATTGTGACCTCTTGCAGGCATATGAAGTTTTGCATGAAAAAAATAATAATTTATTTTCTGCAGAATCATTCGATTTGTTATTATGTAGCAATCAAAATATGTATAAATAAATTCGATTGTGTGACGTCATTTGTGGAAAAAAAAGAAGATCGATTATTAATTGTGGAAAAATTTGCATAAAACTTTACGAGATTTTGGGTGCATTTCATAAATGAAATCCTTCGCAGCGATTGGTTTACATCGCGACGATTCCTTTGGTCGCTTACGTAATTGATTAATCTTTATTAATAAATTCACGCGGATTGCTCGTGGATCTTTCTGTTTTTGAATATTTGAATTCGCTGCATCCTAGAGATTGATCCAGTTCAATTGCGTGCTGTGGAAGAACGATGGTAGTTCGGTTGAATCGGCGCGGGTTATGTAAATAAAATCGTGCTGGTTCGGTGCTGGTAAACACTACGGAAATATCTGTAGATTCTTTGGCGATTCTGTGGGGGCTGAAGCCGAAGAATCTCGCCGCCGCCGCCTCCGAAGTCTGGTACGATAATACGAACGGAGCGCGGCCATCTGTTGGTCAGAATGTCCAAGCGCGCCTGACTGAATTGTCTAAAATGGTGGTGTAAAAAGGACTTTTTAGGCAAACAGAAAGAATTTTTGAACGAGTTTCTAAAGGGGCAAGGCTTACTGCAAGGACCGCCGTCGCACGGCCGATGAGTCGGACCATTGGACAGCCAGGAGATTGGGTCCTGCACCATTGATATTCAATGAGAAAGCTGCCATCGAAGTGGAAAAAGTTCACACTTCTTCGACAGACTTGCTCTGCTGGACTACAGGTCTGAAGCAGCCTCCGGAAACCTGGTGCAGCCTGACTAGAAGGCATAGGTTTGTGTGATCAACTTGCTTAGGAACATTCCCCAACAATGCATTCCAGCTATTCCAATCCATTTACTTTGACCATATAAAAATTCTGCTATATTTAAAACCATAGTTGATGGCATGAGCTTCGATTGTACTTCTTCAACTCAACTGTTTGCATCTGAAAGTGCTCACAGCCAACATGCCATCAATTATACGTAAAACAAGTCCATTCTTGATCTGATAATTTGAAAGATAGTTGTACAATTTGCATTTTGAAAAAAAAAAAATATTAAGTGAAAATTATATAATCCCACCCTCCTGTCCTTTTACTTAATCACACAATTAGTTTTTTTTTTGATTAGGATTGAATTAACTAATCTGTTGTGTTGCAGTGATTTGCAATGTCTTCAAACAAATCCAAGTACAAAGCTAAGAAGCAGCTGCAGACCACACTGGGCAAGGCACCAAAGAAGTATACCTCTGTGGATATTTCGCACCTGAGAAAGCCAATTGATACCAGTGTGATTGGATTACGGCAGGTTCTGCACCTGTTTGAGACTGCCACCAATGAAGTAAGTGACAAGCAAAATTCTGATGAGAGAAAATTAATATTTACAAATATCCCATCTGTTCACTTTAGGTTCGTAATTATATAACATATGAGTGTGATGTTCTGTATGAGTGCAAGACGTGCAGGACAATATACAGGAGTTTAGCAAATTTCATATTACACAAGCGGGATTATTGCAAGGACTCTTGCAGGAAACCGACTGATGAATCTGATGAGGTGTGTGTTCTAGTTTGTTTTTTTTTTATATGAATGTTTGTAATGATGGTTTTTGATTTGCAGCCACCAGCAGATGTGATGGGTAATAGTGCAATAAATTTATGTGATGATGGTGACATGCTGAAATTCGATGGGGACAAGAGTAGGTTGAATGCGGTGCTGAGCAGGTTGAGGAAGAGGCAGGAAAGCCAGGAGATCTTTGATGAAGTCTCTGGGAAGGATTTTTCCAGTGAGAATGTCGTGGAGGATAGGGAGGAGTTGGCAAAGAAGGGGGCCATCGCCCTGGAGGAGATCAACGGGAATTTGTCCTGCGTTTTTCAGACTTTGATAAATAATGTTCCTAAGGATAATCAAGAATTTAGGATAAATGAGGTAATTGCGATGATGAAAATGTGTGTTTTTCGATTTATTAATCTTTTGTTGTTGTTGTTGTTTGTTGCAGGCTATGGAAATACATAGTATATTGAATAACGATGAGGTAATTCTGGGGCCGGACGGTAAGGCTCTGTCCAGGCCCGACATCGAGGGCTTCGACTTCGGCTGCGAGGTCTGCAAGCAGAACTTTGCGACGAAGAAGTCCCTCATCCACCACGTCAAGTGCAAACACAACAACTCGAAGGAGATGTACCTGTGCCCGGAGTACGGATGCAAGGGCAACTACTTTCCTACGACTTACAGCGTGTTCAGGCATCTGCACAAGGTGCATCGGAAGTCGCCGATGCAATACAAGAGGTTGCGATCGCAAATCCAGCGAAACACCATCAAGAACACGACGCTCTCGAATTACAAGGATCAGATTCTTATACGCGAGGAGAGGAACCTCGCCAAGTTCGAGGAAGTGGTGCGTTTCACAATTAATTGAAAGATTCAATAAGTGGACGATTGATTGATTTCTTTGCAGGATCTGTTGGATTCGTCGCAGGTATGCACGAGGTGCGGGAAGAAGTTCGAGAGGAAAGCAGCTTTGCAATCGCACATGCAGCTGTGCAAGACGCTGACGAGTTTGCAGCAGTCTGGAAAGGAGGTGAAGGTGACGGAGAAGCTGCGCGGCTCTCAGAAACGGAAACAGTCGTTCAATCAGATTAAATCCATTAAAAAGGGTAAACCTTCGGTGGAGCCGGAGAAGAGCACGACGACGGATGCGAAGGATGAAGAAGATAGTTCCGACGACGTCGTCTTCGTGCAGACTGACGTGGTGGAACCGGAAACGATAATACTTGATGAGGTTGACGAGACTCCTCCGGTTGCGGTTGCAGCGGAGTCGGACGACGTCGAGATGGTGATGGAGTCTTCGGGGACGGCGACGACGGCTGCTTCGACTGGCGGCGAAGATCCTCTGGTGTGCGAGGAGGTCGTGCTGGAGAGCGACACCGAGGAGGATCGGGGGCAGCAGCAGGTGACGCTCGAGGGTAAGGCCGCACCTTACATCGATCTGTCGCAGTTCCGATGCACGACGTGCGAGTGCAACTTCAAGCATCAGTCCGGACTGATGCAGCACATGGCGACGCACTTCAAATGGTTCAAATACCAGTGCCACATTTGCCTCTTCAAATCCTACAATCGAAGTACCTGCGAGGACCACGTCAAGTCCTACCACAAATCGAACAACAGCAAGAACGTCGTCACGGAGCTGCCCATCGAGGAGACCATCCGCATCTCTACGGACTTCCAGGCGCTGAGCTACGCCCCGGTGGAGAAGTTCATCATCAAGACGAAGAACGCCACGACGCAGATCTGCAAGAGCAACAGACATCCGAGGAAGAGCAGCTGCGAGGAGAAGGACGAGGAGAAAACGAGCAGCAGTAACGGCGTCGTCAAGGAGGCGTGGAAAGTCATCGAGAGTAAAACGAGCAACGGTCTCGTCCTCAAACTGAAAGCAGCCAGCAACGGCGAGAAATCCGCATCGCCCGCATCACCGCATCCTTCGTCGCCGTCTCCATCGGCAGCTACACCTGAAGAGCAGCAGCAGACCGCACCCACGAAACCCGCAGAAAACGAGCAGCAATCCGAGGAGAACAACATGCACAAAATGATCATGGAGGTCATCTTCGGGCCGGAGATGAGCTCCAGACCTATACGAAACCGAGTCACCTCTAAAAAGAACGATTTCATTTATTACGAGAAACCATGAACGATCATCATCATCATCAAAACGATTATTATTAATTACAACATACTCATTAACTCATCGTTGAAGTTTGCGCTCACCGATAAACTTAAATTATTATTTTAATTAAATAGCGAATATAATTAAACGTTCACTATTTAATCAAAAAGAAACATCCGTGAGTGGAAACTTCGTTCTTTCTTTCTTTTTGTTAAAAAAATAATTTTTATTCTTCATAAACTTGAAGTGAATCCTCTGGACTGATGTAAATTGTACATTTATCATTAACCAATTAATGTTTGATTCTTAAGTTGTAACATTTCGATAATCATTATTATTTCGTTTTCTTTTGTAGCATATTTTTTTTTCTTCTATTATATTGAAGCGCCCGAAATTGATGAGGAAAAAGGAAGAGAAGTGTTAAATAGTTTATAATAATTGAATCGCGCGCGCTTCGGCCAACTAAACTAACTCTATTTGTAAATTTGATTGATTTATATAATTTATTTTCTATTCGTAATAAGGATTCGTTTTTATTTTCTGTTTCATTTTCAAGTTTCTTTAGCTAGGACAAATCTATATTATTATTATTATTAATATTATCATAAATTTTTAGTATTATTATTAATTATTTTGTTTGAATGGAAGCGAGATAAAAAAAGACCTCTTCGTGTACATATAATTTCATTCATTCTGTTGCATCAAAAACTCGCGGAGAGCAGGTGTTGATGCAGTTGCATAATACGAACTTTGACCTTTTTATATATATATATAACTTTATATGTTTGCGTGTGTATATGGAAATTTTTACTATGAACAAAAATAAGCAATAATATTTTATAAGGGAAACAGCCGGAACACAATAGAATGTTTCAATTGGAAAGGCAAAAGTTCGAGAACCAAAAAATAATGTTGTAATTTATTTTGACTGAGGTACAAATACAAGACCCCCCTGTAGCATCGATTTTTCCCCCACGAATAAGAGAATAAAACTTTCGCCTTTTAATCGAAAGAATTATACACCTTTCAATTATTCCCTAATTAAGAAATTAGTTCATAGTTTAAAAATCCAAGTACACTCAATTTTATATTCTTTATGCTAATATTTAGCTGTTCGATGGTTTTCAAATAAAACAAATGAAACATTTGCTACATTTTGTACAGCCAACTAGGATAACTTTGAAAAGCGAAAACGTTTACCAGAAAAAAAATACGTTGAAAAGAGTTTTAATGATTTGTTAATGATTTCTTAACTAAATAATTGAGGAGAAAGTTACTGAATTAACTGAGGTAAATTGAAATTATTGAATTTCATTGGTGGATTTTTTTGGCCATGCAGAAGTGAAAGGAAATTTCGGTAATGGATCTCTTCCAAACACCATGGAAATCCTTCAGCGATGATCGTTGCGTCACGGTGAGGATGTTGCATAACGATGTGCGGACGAAGGCGCCATCTGGAGGCGATCGGTGGTAGCGGAAGCGCTTGGTTGTTGATTCGGTGCTGGCTGGTGATTTGTTGTGGTGGTTTTTTCGTTCGCGTCGTCGAGTGCAGTTGGTGTTTTTTTCGATGGTTTCGTTGGTGTTGTTGCACGTAGAGAAAAAGAGAGAGATAGAAATCAAAGCGGCGGCGGTGGTGCGTGTGCGTTCGGTTCGTTTGTTTAGTTTCAACAGGGAATATTATAACAACAATATTTACACATATACACATGATGCGAGATGGTGAGCGTCGGCGTCGTGGCGATAATGCAACGACGACGTTGTGATGTGGTGAGGAGTGCAGTGCTGTGAGACCAGAGGTGCGTGTGGGCGTCCGTTCCGATGGTTTTTATGGATTTTTTGAAGCGGTTTTGACGAACGAACGGCATCTCCAGCGGTGCCGACCACAGCCGCTGTCAAACAAACGGAGTACCGAGTGTGTGTGTGCGCGACAGTGAGTGAGAGAGAGAGAGGGAAAGAAAAAAAACGCGCAAATGGCGTCCGAGAACGAAGCCTCCTGCGAAGGTGATCCCAATTTCGCGGTCATCTGCGGCTTCTTCGAGAAATTCGGCGTCGCGTGCGGCCTGAACCCCGTGGATTTCGTCGAGTTGCAGGAGATGCTCGAGAATACGCACGAAGGTGAGTCTCGTCCACTCGCCGCCTCCGACCCCTGCGGCTTCTTCGCCACCGCCACCATTGTTTCCCTCCCACATTAACGCACCTATCCGATACATCAACAAAACACAACAGTACGCGAAACGAAAACAAACGAAGCTTGTTTACAGCGGAGCTCTTCTCGAAATCCTTTCCTGCTGATTGACGACGCATCTCTACCAATTGCAATTTACTGATCAAATTAGAAAATAACAAACCAACCTCCTCTCCTGTTTGTTGTTGTTGTTTACTTTTGTTGCGCATTCCACGCATCTTCTATATTTGTCTTCTTTTTTTTGTTTGAAATTCAGTTGCCACTGATTTGATCGAACTGCACATCAAGTTGCTGAGGAAGGCAAGGAAATCTGTTTCCTCAGAGAGATGGGAGAGGGCCATCGTGAACATCTGCCATACATACAACAGTCAAGATGCCTGGGAGATTGAGAGGTTCGGATACAAGAAAGCCAGAATTGGGTCCAAACTGCGTATCTTGAAGGTACACTCCAATCAAACATTGCATTGTTTTCATCCTTCATTTCAATTTATTTTTGTTTCTATTTATAGCATCTTCTTGAAATGCAATTTGATCTGAATGTTAGATTCAAGAATGAAATCAATAAAATGTCTGCAACGGAGCTCCGAACCCAACCACTGGGCAAGGATAAAACTGGACATTCTTATTGGTTTCAAACTGATGAGAGCTGCACCATCAGAGTGTACAAGGAGGATCCTGATGAGGAGACGTGGGCTTTGGTTGCAAAGTAAGTTGATACCATGTTTCACAATCATATTCATTGCTTGCTTGTCATATTTGTTTATAAACTTGTCTCACGTTCGCGCTATGCGTCAGTCCGTTTATTACACTTAACTCATTTTTGTTGTTGTTTTTCAGGGATAGGAATGGATTGGTTTCGTTAATATCGCAGTTGGATTCGAACGAGGCCGCTAAGAGCGGATCGGATTCGATCATGAATGAGGATAGCAACAGCCTGGAAATGGAGAAGCCCATATTGGACACCGGGCAGAACGACTCCAATTCCGACTCATCGAAACAACTCTCCGAGAAAAAGTCTTCGTGCGAGGAGGAGGAGGAACTGGAGGAAGAGCAGTCCATCGACAACAGTACGGCAGTGCGGAACGGCAACGCGGTAATGGATACGGATTCCAACAGTGCGCTCGCTCTCAAGGAAGTGGCGGACGAGGAGGAGGAGGAGGATGTGGAAGAGGAGGAAGAAGTAGACGAAGAGGAGGAGGTAGAAGAAGAAGAAGTTGAGGAGGAGGAGGAAGAGGACGAGGAGGATGAAGAGGAAGAACCTGTGCCGGCGGTGCCAGAAGTTAAGATGCAGGAGAAACCGGTTCTGGTGGAGCTCAAGCAAGTTCCTGCTGCGATCCCGGAGGAGCGGCCCAAGACTATGGGACTGAGGCTGAAACCGCTGACGGAGTTGCTGACTCAGCCGATCATCGAGAGTGAAAAGAAGCTGGAGCTAAGTGGTATTAAAAATAAGTACATTAGAAACGATCCTTTTCCCATGTCGAACAGGAAGGCTGTAGAGAGTGCTAGTTACGTGGACATTTACAAGAACGATCACAAAAGGCCAATGGATTACAACAGTATAGAAGAACCGAGTTTTGCGAAACGTCCACGCACCGATCGTCCCACCTTGCTGAACAACAAACTGCATTACCAGAAGCAGTACATGGGCGAGGAGGAGGACGATGACGATGAGGATTACGACGAATACGAGGACGAGGAGGACGAAGTCGGCGAGGAGATCGAAGAACCGCTAATGCTCATCAAAGGCGAAGGATCTGGCAAGGACAATAAATGCGGCAGCGAAGCGGAATCACCGATCGTCGGCGACGCCATCGAGGAACCGGTGATGTTCGTGTACGGCGTTGGAAGCGGGGCCCTCTGCCAAACCGGAAACGAAAAGAAATCCGAGGACGATTCGAAATCATCAAAAAACACTGTGAATGATCCTACTGAAAAGACTAACACTGAGCAGTTTAACAACTTGACGAAGAAAGAGGTATTTCGAAGTCCACCCAAAAAATCTAAATGGGAATCCGGGGACGATAAAACGGAGACAGTGGGCAGCACCAGTGTTCAGAAGATGGTCGAAAAATTCGAAGATTTGAGCAAAGGAGTTGAAGTGCCTCCCAAGAAAACGATGCCTTCGTTTTTCTTCGGTCCAGGTTTCAACACACCTTCGATCAGCGCGCTAGCAAAGACTAACGAGAATGACGATATAGATTCCAATGAGGTATCCACTGAAACTGAAACTAAACAAATAGATGAAACCGAAACGGTCGACGAAGTAGAAAATATTGAAGAATCAAAAAATGGTGCAAGTAAAGAATGTAAATCCAATGAAATTGATACAAAAGAAATTGTCCAGTCCATTATCCAAGTTGACAAAGAAAACTTAGAACCTGCTGAAGCTCTTACAAAGGAAAATGTATGCAACATTGAAGAGAAAAGTAAAAGTGAATCTGAGGATAATCTTGTGAAGGAGACTGAAAATGCATCTATAGAAACACTTGAAAAGGAAAACAAAAGTGAAACTGCAGTGGAATGTAAAAGTATACCTGCAGATGATCTTCCAAAAGAAAACAAAAGTGAATCTGAAGATAATCTTGTGAAGGAGTCTGAAAATGCACCTAAAGAAACACTTGAAGAGGAAAGAAAAAGTGAATCTGCAGAGGAATGTAAAAGTACACCTGCAGATAATCTTCCAAAAGAAAACAAATGTGAATCTGAAGATAATCTTGTGAAGGAGTCTGAAAATGTACCTAAAGAAACACTTGAAGAGGAAAGAAAAAGTGAATCTGCTGAGGAATGTAAAAGTACATCTGTAGATAATCTTCCAAAAGAAAACAAAGGTAAATCTGAAGATAATCTTGTGAAGGAGTCTGAAATTGTACCTAAAGAAACACTTGAAGAGGAAAGAAAAAGTGAATCTGCTGAGGAATGTAAAAGTGCACCTATAGATAATCTTCCAAAGGAAAGCAAAAGAGAATCTACAGATAATCTTGTGAAGGAGAGTGAAAATACACCTATAGAAACAATTAAAAAGGAAAGCAAAAGTGAATCCACAGATAATCTTGCTGAGGAATGCAAAAGTGAATCTGCAGATAATCTTGCAAAGGAATGTAAAAGTGCACCTGTAGATAATCTTAAAGAGGATAGCAAAAGTGAATCTGCAGATAATCTTACAGAGGAAAGCAAAAGTGAATCCACAGATAATCTTGCTGAAGAATGCAAAAGTGAATCTGCAGATAATCTTGCAAAGGAAAGTAAAAGTGCACCTGTAGATAATCAGAAAGAGGAAAACAAAAGTGAACCTGCAGAAAATCCTGAAGAGAATAACACAGCTAATCTGAAAGAGGATATTAAAAGTGAATCTTCAGAAACTATTAAAGTGGAAATCATAAGTGAATCTGCAAAAAATATTAAAGAGGAAAGCAAATGTGAACTTACAAAAAATCTGATTGTCGAAGGTGCATGTGAACTTGCAACAAATCTGAAAGAGAAAAGCATAAGTGCAACAACAGAAACTATTAATGTGGAAAGCAATAGTGAACCTGCAGACATTCCTAAAGAGGAAATCAAAAGAGAATCTGTAGAAAATCTTAAACAGGAACTTAAAATTGAGTGTCCAGAGACTAAAGAGGAATTCAAAAGTGAAATATTAGAAACTATTAATACGGATAGCAAAAGTGAATCTGCAGAAACTCTTATTGATGAAAGCAGAAGTGAATCTGCAGAAAGTAAAAATGATTCTCCTTCAAATGAGCTGTTGCAAAAAACTAATATCAAAGATGATGATCCCAAGGTGAATATTATTATTGAAGATGTTTCATCATCATCAGAAACGACAGAGTTAGCAAATAATGTAGATTCTACTTTTGATGACAATAAGCTACCCCAAAAAGAATCTGATGTGATGGATTGCAGTTCTGAAGTGGAACAACCTGTTGACGATGCAACTACAACTGCCGAGGAGGTGACTAAATCTTCGGACACGACCGAATGCAAGGGTGATGTGGATGAGACCACGAAATCTGAGAGTGTTCAACAGACGAAAAATGAGTCACAAGTGAAGATTATCGACGAGAAAGAGGTGACGTTTGCAGATGATTTATCAAAGAAGGATGACGTATCGATATCTGAACCCAACATTGACGGTAATTCAAAAACTGCTTCCGAAGAGACCGAAATGAAATCTTTAGGACCAGTGCCTTGCGACACTTCTTCTCAGAGTGTTGATTCCCAAGAAGTTCCTGAAAAAGATTCAATAGAATCTAAACGTGAAGATCCAAAGTCTCCAGAAGTTGACATTAATAGTGAAGAAATCGCTGATACACCTTCAACTGAATGTGTTGATTCAAAACCTTCGAGCAGCATCGATTCAAAGCAGATAGAAAACACCGATTCAATATCTGAAGAAAATAAGGAACCAGTTGAATCGATATCGATTGAAAATATTGATTCAAAATCTGCCGAAAATGTTGAGAGTTTGAATTCAGAATCTGTTGATACAAGAAGTCCTGAAATTGTTGAAATAATTGCAGAAACTGGGCCAGTAGAACCGATCGATCTAAGAAGTGATAAATCTGAATCATCGGAGACCTCAATTGAAGCGACGAAAAGTCCCAAAACTAAACCTGAAACATCACCAGTCAAGATTGAACACAATGAATCCGCTTTAGCTGATACTTTACAAGCGAGCAATTCGAATGCCATTGAAGATAATAGTAATATGTCAGAACCAGATATTACAGTTCAAATTAACGATCTTGTCAACAAATCGGAAACACCAACATTGAACTTAAAAGATGATAAAGACATTAGCCATGATGAAATGGATGTGGTTGAAGAAAAACCCGAGGAAGTCGTCGAACAATCTGAAATAGTCGAGAAGTTAGAAGACCAAACAAAGGAACTTGCAGAGGAAGCTAGAGTAACAGAAGTTGTTGATGAAAAAACAGAGAATGTTGATAATGGAACTTGTAGTATAGAAATTGTTGCTGATAAGCATAATGAAATCAAAGGTGCTGATTTAAAAGTGGAGGAAAATGTTGGTAGTACTACTGCAATGGATGTACTTGAAAAACAATCAAAGAATATTCCTGAAAAACCTGATACTATTGAGGAGGTGAAATCTGAAAGAGCTGTTGAGAAATCTGAAATATCGGAGAGTCTTGAATCTAGTGAGATGATTGATTCAATTCAAATTACAGATAAACCTGTCGCTGTAAACCCAATAGCAGTTGTAGATGTTGCTGTGTGCAATTTGAAAACATCAGATTTGATGGCAGATGTGGAAAGAAATAATGTATTACCGACAGAAGTGACCGATAAAAATGACGAAACAGTGATAGACTTAAAAGTTCGAAAGGTGCTTGAGGTTCAACCAGCTACAACTTCGGCTATTGTAGAAAATGTGGAGATCAGTGAAAAACTGGAGACGCTAAGTGATATTTCCAATGACGATAAAAGTGAAATTATAGAGGCAGAAGACAAGGAGAACGATGCTTCTGTTGCGGAGGAATCGAAAGAAATTATCGAAGAATCGGAAACCGTCGTTCCTAAAGTACAAATTGTTAGTGAGAATATCTTGCCAGATAAATGCCAAACAAACAATAACGAAGTTGGTGAAAACAAATCTCAAAAAGTATCTGATCCAAAGTCAGAAACGTCGTTTGTTGCAAAGATCTCGGCGACGCAATCAGTCGTGGTCACTGATGAAATTCAAAATAAGAAAATCTTATCAGAACCTAAATTAAATGCATCAGATGTTACTGCGACAAAAACGAATCCAGTGGATGCCAAAGAGGATGATGTTATCCGGGAATCAACTTCGACGGATGTAAAATCTGAGAAGAAAACTGAATCTGCAGAAGTTAAATCTATTGAAAAGAGCAAAGAAACGCACGTTCCTGAAAAAACGAGTGTTCAGGTTGGAGAATCTTCTAAAAAAGAACTTAAGTCCGCTGTGGTATCAGATTTGAAAGTTGATGTTAAAATTGTTAATGTCGATAAAAGTAAGGACGAAGTTGGTGCAGCGACAGAACAGACTGAAAGCAAACCTGCAATTGCAGCCCCCAATAACACTGCGAAAAGTGCCAAAAAGAGTTTCAAAATAAATAGCATCTTGAGCAGCAAGGAAAAAGAGCCGGAAGCGAAAAGTAAAGACGGAGAAAAGCGAAGAGTCACCGGGGAAGAACCAGGTAAAGTGCCGGACATCAAAAGTGTGGACGTTAGCAGCGATAAAAAATCCGGGGAGATTTTGCCAGAAGACAAATGTGATAAAGAAGTTGATGATGTTGGTTTGGTTACGCGATCGCTAAAAGCCGCACCGAAGGATGTGCCAGAGCCCGAAAAGCAAACGCAAGAGCAAGAAGGTACAACTCCAGCGAAGGGAGAATTAAAAAAGACTGAATTGTACGGTGCTCCTGTACCATCGCCGAAGAGGTCGGCACGTCTGAGGAATGCCTCTGTTAAAGATACCGTCCCGGAAGTAGTAGTGGTAAACAAGAAAGCCAAGAACAATGCTGTTGATGATAAACCCAGCGAAGAGTGCAAGAAACCGAAGTTGGAAACGCCGCCACCGGCGGAGAGTAGAAGACTACGCTTGAGGAACAGAGGCAACAGAGATTCCACTTCCTCCTTGGATGTCGCCAACATCAACAAACAGATAGTCAAAGATGTAAAAGAATCACCAGTAGCGAAGAAGAATTTCGATAATTTGAAATCAATTCAGGAAGGTGAAAAGAAGATGACCGTCGAGGAGCCAGTCTGTCTTAAGAAAACTGTCGCAGATTTGACAGAGGAAATGCCGAACTCACCAATTTCGTTCGTGTCTGATGGCGATTGCGGCGATATGGGAAATGTATCCAGCGAGTACGAATCGGAAAAGGAAGAGGAGCAGTCCGTGAAGCAGGAAGAGGAGCTGAAACCTGCCGAGACTAAGAAAGAGGTGGTTCCCAAAAAAGAAGTGGAATCGAAACCGGAAGAAGTAGTTAAAAAGGATGAAGGAGTTAAAAAGGAAGAGAAGGAGGATGAGCCTAAAAAGGATGAGAAAATTCCTTCATTAGCTACGTTGTCGTTCGATTATACAGGAAGTCCGCCGCCCGCAAAAGAGAAGATAAATGTTCGAGTGACCAGAAAGAGAGGCAGAGTAAGTCCGCCGACCGAAAAGCAACAGGCGGTAACAGGTGGAAAACGAAGAAAAATGCGGGGCAAGAGAACGGTGGATACCGAACTGAGGAAAAGTATAGAGGATCAAAAGAAAAAGGAGATTAGCAGTAGCGAGGAGGAGAAGGATCATGCGTCTAAAAAGCAGAAGAAATCAGAAGAGGTCAAGGAGAGTACAAAGAAAGGGCACAAGAAGAAACGGACTCTCTTGGGTTTGGATATACCAGATACAATGGAAGTCGTCCAGACAGGGGTGCGACAGTCGCGCAGGATAGCCCAGATCAAGATTAAAGAAGAGGCAGAGCGCAGGAAAATCGAGGAATTGACGATGCACGATATTAAAGAGAAGCATAAGAAATCGAGCAGAAAGGAAGACGATAAAGACTACAAAGCTGAAAAGCGGAAAAGGAACAAAACTGCAGTGACCGAGGATGAGACGACCAACGATGCCGAGTCCGACGAGAAAAAGAAGAAGAAACAAAAACGGAAACACAAGAATCCCAAGTTCGATGAGCACAATCCTTGGAAGTCGAGTTCGGATTCCAGCAGCCAGGAGTCGCACGTTGAAGAAGAGGAGGAAGAGTACGAAGAGGAAGACAGAGATGCTCCCTTGAAATCCGATCACGAATTTTCGCCGGAGAGTGATTTGGAAAATGGGGACGAGGTGCAACCCCTGAAACGCGCCAGAACTGTCCGCAAGGAGGACGCCCCAGAGGACGACGTTGTTGAGGTGGACGATACCAGCTGTGAAAAGTGCGGTAAATCCGATCATCCCGAATGGATACTGCTCTGCGATGGATGTGATTCCGGTTGGCATTGTTCTTGCCTTCGGCCTGCACTTCTTGTCATCCCCGAAGGAGATTGGTATTGTCCACCGTGTTTGCACACCACATTGGTGATTAATCTGCAAAATCGATTGATAGAGTTCGATAAGCAGGTAAGCAAGAGACAGGCGGAGGTGCGCCGCAAAGAGAGATTGGCGTATGTCGGTATAAGCCTGGATAACGTTCTTCCAACGAAAGAGCACGACGAGAATATCAAGAGCAAGCCGAAGCAGCAACGACGCGACACCAGAGACAGTGCATCAGAGTCAGCATCCGATTCGAGCTCAAGTTCAGGTTCTGGTTCAGGGTCGACGGCCAGTGAGAGCGAGGATGAGCCAATTTATCAACTACGCCAACGACGACAAGCTCACAGCTATCGGTTTAACGACTACGACGAACTCATCAACTCCGCCATCCAGGATGAAGTGCAGTCCGCCGTGGTGGTGCAGTCCACCGAAATCCGTGGCAAAGACATGCAGACCATCGTCAATGCAGAGGCGGCAGCAGCAGCGGCCGAAACGCAAGCCGCCCCTGAACCACTGCCACCGGTTATACCTATTAATGCAGACTTGCCATCCAATCTCGTCCATACTGCAGACGAAGCGGCTTCTGACGATGAAGTTATTAAGCCGGTCAAGAAACTGATAGGCAAGAAGAAACATCGAAAATTGAACAGTCTTGACATTAGCAGCGATGACGACGATCAAGGTTCCGACGAGGACTTTAAAGGTTCAAGTTCGGACGAGGACGAAGAGGATGAATTCGACGAGGATTTGGATAGCGATAGCAGCGAGTTTGGTCGTCGCAAAAGGAAAGGTGGACCTGTGCGAAGATCGACGCGTGCCAGGATTTCCCGGTATGATCGTGACTTCATCAACGATGACTCTGATGAGGATTACGCCGCTCCTCGCCGCAAAAAGACCCGATCGATTTGGGACGAGTCCGAATCCGAGGAGAGCGATAGATCTTGGGGTAGGAGGAAAAAGAAGAGCACTCCTAGAAAAGCACCATCCACGCCGAGGCCGCGGAAACCAAAGTCCAAGAAGAAAAAGAAGAATGACGATGATTCCGATGCGGAGGTCTACAGCAAGAAGAAGCCGAAAATTAAGTATGGCGGTTTGGACAGTGAAGAGGATACGGGCAGACGAACGAGAGGGAAGAAAATTACGTATGTCGATGCGTTGGGGTCGGACAGCGACGACGATCTTCGCAGAAAGAATGCAGTGAAGGACGACGATAGCGAGGACGAGTTCGTGTTGAACGAGGAGGAGGATTTAAGGGATGAGGCAGTCGGCGACAGCGACGATTCCAACGATGATCCGTTGATTGTGGGAGCCATCAAGTCCGGTTCGAAGAAGGGCAAGGGAAAGGGCGGTATAAAGAGAATAAAGCGAGCTCAGGGTGAAGAAGAGGAAGCTCTTTTCCCGCCGCTCCCCGATGATTTCACTAAAACGACGGAAGTGGTTCCGCCAGTAATTGCTGGTGCGTCCGTTGAGAAGGAAGAGCCCAATCCGATCGAACAAATCAACAAGAACATCGAAGCGATGGACGAGAAAGAAATGGAAATGATGATGGAGGAGGAGGAGTACGCGAATAAGCAACTGCAGATGGTGGCCGAGCAGTTGGAGAAGGAAAAGAGGCGAAAGGAATTGGAGGTTGCCAAGAAGCTGGAGGAGATGCCAACTGTGGTTCCGCAGAATTTCGATTTGCCCCCGATGGTCGTGGACACAATGCCCGTATTGGAACCGCAGACACAGCTGCATCCCATCATGATGATGGAGGAGAAGACACCAAAGAAACGCGGAAGGAAGCCGAAATCGCTGTCCGGCTCGGCGGAGATGCTGCACCTGATGCCTGGCAGCGGCGTCCCGACGACACCGCAGAGTGACGACATGTCGGATCTTTCGGGTTCCAATTTGAATCCCGATGGAACCCCAAAGAAGCGACGTGGTCGTGGTAAGGGAAAGAAAACTTTGGAGAAGGAGGCTGCAGCAGCTGCGGCAGCCGCTGCACGCGCCTCGAACGCTCCCTCTGAAGCTGGAGATTCCAACGAGCCCAGCCTCAGCGAGACCGGAGATTCCTCCAATGATCCAGCGCTGATTGGAGGCAAGTTAGGAGTTGCCTCAGCGCCGCAGCCTTTCTCCCAAAGTCAACCTGTACCTTCCGTGATAACGAGGATGCTTCAAACGCAACCCGGTAAACCAGCTTATCCCGTCGGCCCTCCGATTAACTACGAGATGTACGGTGGCGACAACAGGCCCGAGGGTCCTTCGCCGCCCATCCCTTCGCCATCACCTCAGGGAGGACCGCCTTTCCTAACATCACCAGGTCAGTTTCAATTCAACATTGTAATGATGATGTTTCATTTTATGTTCGTTTATATTAATTTCGTGTATATGTTTTTAGGTGGACCCCCCAGGGGTGTTCTTCCTCCAGGTTATCGGCCTACTTTGAACCATTATCCAGTGATACGAAGCGGAGCACCGCCACCGATGAGACATCGCAGTCCCGTTCCGCAAAACATTCCGTCGGGTATGTTCCTCAGCCATCATCCGTTGGATCCATCGCCGTCGGGCGGATCTACCATCACCACCGTCTCCTCGGAACACGGTTCCCCGGCGCCATCGGCGAGTCCGCTCAGCAACAAGAGCGACCCGACACCTCCACCGCCGACGTACGTGCGACCACCTATGGTGCGTTTCCCTGCAGCTACCCAAGGACCCATGGCTCGGCATCCTCTGCCGACGATGATGGCTCAGCACATGCTGAGACCCAACGTGCCCTTCGCGCACTTCCCCTACGGTGCGTATCAGCAAGCAGCTGCCTCGTCGGGCGAGGACGGGCCGCATTTCAGCAACCCCAACTATTCTGAATTTCCACCGGACGGCGAAGGACCGAAGAACTACGACGAAGAGAACGGCGAGTTTGGCGGTTTGGTCTCCTATTTCTCCAGTCAGAGGGAGGACGACTTGGACACATAGCCGTCGGAGTCTTGCCAGCGAAAATAGTAAGCAGGTTAAGCAACAACAACAACAACATCAGCAGCAGGCAAAAACAAAACGAGTGAAATAACAGTATTTGTACAATAGTTTGTATGAGAGACGAAACAACAACATCGTCGACAACAAAACACTTTTAGAGCGGATATCCTTTAATTTTATTATTGTTTATTTTATAAATACCTATTTATATATATATACATATTATGTAATAATCAGAAACTTGCACTTTGTACAAAGTAAATCGCGCGAAGCAGGAAGGCGATATATATATATATATGTATGAGAGGACGATGAGACAGAGTTTATATATTATCGAGTATCGAATTCATTTTATGTGTATTTGTAATTTACTTACTTTATTATTATTATTATTAATTATTATTATTATAAAATCGTTTTACTGATTATATTTATACTTGTAAATATTAGTAGAATTTTTATATAGAGTAAAGACGGCGACGAAGAAGTGTACGACGACGTTGGAAATAGAAAAATAGGTCCTGAACATGATACAATTTTTAACGATTTAAGTGATGTGTACATATATATACAATGATGAAAAACTAAACGATTATATATTGATGATATTGATGATGATGATGAAGATGGAACGACGAAAGCAAATTGTAAATAGTTGAAATAATAGCCACACCCACAACCACACCCACATCCCTCCTCCCATAATCATTAAGACCACCCTTATTATATACTAATATATATATTATAATGAATATACATTAATATAATATTGCTGACGATGACGGACGAATGTGTACGTTTGCGGTATTCACAGTGGAGAGAGAGACAGAGAAAGTAATTTTAAGTTCAAGTGTTGGCTACTTAAGTAAATTCAGTGTTGTTGTATTTAGAAATGTGTATAAATGAAACGAAAAACAAAATAATGGAGATAGGACGATTGCATTTTGTTTCTTATTTTGTTTTATTACTTTATTTCTCGTGTCTTCTAAGTTGTGTACTTGTAAGTTACATTTAGTGCAATGAACTATATACATTATGCATATGCATATACAAGATGAAAACAAAACCTATATATGAATATCTGTATTATTTAAAAAAAAATATATATATTAATAATGATGAATTTTGAAATGCGTGTGAGCGTGAAAATCACGAGACGAATCGTCTTTTGTTTCGTTTCGGTTTTGGTAATAAAGAGAGTAGTCACTTATTTGTATAGTTAATCACATATTAATATTAATAATATTGTTTCATTATATGTCACGAAATGATTGATACATGAAAACAACAACAACATTAACAGATGAACGTCGAAGACGTGCATACTTGATTTTTATTTTCTTTTTTTTGTTTGTTTTGTAAAAGCTCTATATTTTAATAATACGTACGTATATTTTGCATATAAATATACGTACTTATAATATATTGATGAATCTATATATTTATTTTGATTTATTTTAATTGAATAAAAATATTTTAAAAATTATTTTTTTTGTATATAATGAAATATACCAAACAATTCCAATTTCCATTTCCTTCACAATTCATGTATCGTATTATAAATGTTTATGATTTAATAATTTGCAGTTTCTTCCATAAATTTGATATTTAACTTTATCAAATGGGAATCATTCGAAACTTGTATCTAAGTAGGTTTTGAAATCTTTACGTTGAACAGCAATTAATATGTTTAGTTTTGTAGATATGTGGATTGAGAAAAGAAATTGTGGAAAGGTTTCAGACTTCCTTTGAAGATGTTTCTGAAGAGAGTAGATTTTGGAATTTGGGTAAGAACGTAAGATCAAAGTTTACCATTTTACAAACATTGAATTATTTCAGATTGTAATAGAAGAATAATTGGTGAATGCAGCTGCAACCAACGTAGCTACAAAAGCAATATTGAATTGAAGATTTTGGCTTGGGAAGATTATGGAATAAGAAATCGTGAATGGTTATTGATAAAACTTTATTTTTTCGTAAGAAATGTTTCGTGATGAAGCTACTACTACTAAAAGAACGTCTACTTGAGTGCCGTAATAATGTCTTCTGGACGGATGAATCGAGGGACGTCCGGCTTTCCGAACTTTGCGCGCAACAAAGTTGGGCCTTCGATGGATCGTCCCCGCAAGATTTGCTAACTACAAATGAAGTATTTAAGACACAGTGAGTGAGAGATAGATAGAACGAAAATGAAATTAATCTTGTATAAAATTTGTTTAGTAATTAGGTGGCTGTGGCGTTCCGACCGATTTCCGGTCGTAACTCAGGTTCAGCGCAGGAGGCAGACTGGCAGTGTTTGTGGCGGTATTGTCCAGCTTCCTGGCTTCCTGTTCGAGCAGCAGCGCATCCAAGGAGGGATCCTGCGAGACGGTCCTCAGGCTATCGCCGAGCGCCTGCCGAAGATGCTGCATCTCGCGACCGGCCCTCGAGCTCCTCAGGATGTACTGCTGCCTGCGTTTGATCTCCTGGTTCAACTGCTCCCTCAGCATCGTCACTTGGTTCTCCAAACGGGCGACCTGCTGACGATGGCTTTGCTCCCTCGCCTCGAGCAGCCTCTCCGCCTGCAGCTGCGCCGCCCTGTATCGCTCCACCTCGGACCTCTCGAACGTCGATTCGTAGCCTCCGGGCTTCGCGTGCAGATTCCTCAACCTGGCCAACTCGGCCTCCTTATCTCCGACCTCCATTTCCAGCTTGGAGATCTTCATGCGAAGCTCCGCGTTCTCCTGCTCGTACTTCACGCTGTCCCTGTCCGAGACGCGAGCATCGATCTCGTACTTCTCCGGCCTCTCGTACGATTTGCTCCTGCACTTCGTCACCGTCCTCTCCAGATCCCTGTTCTCGCTCTCCACCTGACGCACTTTCACCGTCAACGTTTCCACCTTGCTCCTAAGCTCGCTGCGATCCCTCTGCAGCTGTCTGATGAGCTCGTCCTCGTGATGGTGGGTGCTCGGCGTGCTCGTCTCCGGCCACTGCGCCAACCTCAGCTGCGACTCCAATCCGGACTTGACCACCTCGTTGTTCGCCAGCTCGTTGTTAAGCCGCGAAACCTGATCCTGCAGGATCTGGTTGTTCCTCCTGAACTCGTTCAAATTCTGCTGGCTCGCCTCGAACCTCTCCGACAAAATCTTTCGCTCGTTCTCGCTGCTTGCCAACGACTTGTGCAACTGTAAGTATTAAAGATTACAAAAACACGAATCTTCAGCAAATCGTAACGCATGTGTTACATGTTTCAGCTTCTCGGCGCCGGTGTGTGTAGCAGTCGTAGTCTCGAGCAACGATCTCTGCAAACTCTGAATCTCCACTTTCATCTCGGATTCAGTGCCTGCGGCCCTCTCCAGCGACGAATTCAGCTGATCGATGGTCGTCTTCAACGAGATGCAGCGTTCCTCCAAACTGACCAAATTTCTTGATTGCGTCTCGCACTTCTCCTGTAATTTCTATATAGAAAAGAGCGTTAAATTTTGAAAATAGTAATTTGCAGAACGCACCTGTATTTGAGCATCCTTTTCTTGGAGCATCATCTGCAATCTCTGAAGATCTCCTTCAGCGGACATACGCTGCAGCTCCAGCTTGGAAGATCTGTTTTCGGTGCGTCCGAGCTCCTCCTGCAAAGCCCTCTTCTCCGCATCCAGTTTACCCAGAGCGTTCTTGTACTTCTCCACCTTATCCTGAAAACCATTAATTGCAAGTCAGTATTTTTATATTCAATTAATCCCTATTTAGTTTACCTCGAATTGCATTTTCTCCTCTTTGCAGCTGCTCACGCTCAACTCCAGATTGGTGATTTTATCCCTGAGCTGCTGCACCTCTTCGGATTTCTTGTGCAGCGCGTCCGTTTGCGAGTTGAGAGCTATCGTCTTCTGCCCGAGCTTCGTCTCGAGCGTGCCTTTCTCGTCCTGAAGGCTCCTCAAATTCTGCAGAACTTTGGTCAGTTTGCTGTCTCCCTTGTTCTGATTGTCGTTGCTCTCCTTCAGCTGCTTCTTGACGGTTCCAACCTGCGTCTTGAAGTCGTCCCGTTCCCGCTCTATTTGGGCCACCTGCTGCATCAGATTCCTCACTCCTTTCCTCACAATTTCCGGATCGATGTCGGTCACGTTGTCGACCTCGTGCGAAGCTGCTGCAAAGAGAAAAAGGAAGGGGATTTATTATCGATTTTCTAATTTATTTAATATTAGTTTTACTTCTTGCAGGACTCCATCTGCGCGACGGACTCAGAAGACGACTGCTGTGGTTCACGGTGCCGTCGATCTGGATTCCAGCTATTCTTCGTAGAGTGGACACGACGCTGGCCAGCTTCTGCTCGACGTCGCGTTTCGCCGTTTCCGTCTGGGTAAGTTGATTGTCCAACGAGCGAACTCTGCTCTCCGCTCCACCCAATTTCGCTTTCAACTCTTGAATCTGCTGAGTGGCGTCCACGAGGCACACCTCCAAGTTATGCTTTTGATCCTCCAAACGCTTTTCCCGACCGCGACAATCCTCCAAGTGTACCAGAAGGTCTTGCTCTCTCGCGTGCCACTGCTCTTCCAGATGCGCGCTATGCGAACGAGTTCTTCCCAGCTCTTGTCTAGTTTGATCCAGATTTCGATCGAGTTCCGAAATCTACCACAAATATAACATTATTATATAACATACCAATATAAAGAAATGACGAAAATACCTGTTTTTTAAGCGTGTGCACCTCCTGGTGAGCCCTTTCCCGTTCCTCGACTTCGTTCAGCAATCGCGTCTGCAGTTCCTTCTCTTCGTTCTGCTGCTGCGCGTTGGAGCTCTGCGTCCTCTGCAGCTCATCCTGCAACGATTGTAGCTTGTGCTCGGTCTGCAGTTGCTCCTTCTCCACTTCTTTAACAACGTTTTGAAGTCTGGTTCGCTCACTTTCCAGAGATTGTTTGAGATCTTCCAAAGCTATAATGGTTTCAACGTAATATAAATCCTCGCAATAAATTAACAATTAAATACCTGTAATCTTCTGGAAAGACTCCTCGAGTTGCCTTCCCATATCCCGTTTTTCGCTCTCCACCTTCTTGATGACCTCGCGCATCTCCTTATTGGACCCGTGATACTTTTCCTTCTCGAAGTTGCTGTCGGTCAGCTGTCTCCTGACGTCCGTCAGATCCTTCCGCAGACCCTCTGAATTGTTTTCGCATTCGCGCAGCTTCCTCACCGTTTCGTGCAGTTGCGAATTCAACGCGTCGATCTTGTCCTCGCACAGATGCAGCTGCACCTTGAGATTCTCGACTTCGCCTTGCGCGGACTCCCTCTCACCCAATATCTCCACGACCTTCTGCTCCAAACGTGATCTCTCTTCCTCGAATTTGCCGCGCGTCTCCTCCAATTTCGCCTTCTGCTTGGTCAACTCCTCCTTCAACTGATTGATGCTGTTCCTGTCCTGATCGAATCTGCTGTTCGATTCTCTCCTCATCCTCTCCAAACTGCTCCTCTCCGCCTCCAGCTCCTTCCTAGCAGCCTCCAATCTGTCGTGCAGCGCTTGCTGATCGTGGTGGGCAATCAGCAGTGCCTGCTGCTTATCGTTTTCCGCACGCAGCATCAACTCTTCGTGCTGCTGGCAAACGTTCTCGATGTGGCTTTGCAGACTGTCGATTCGGTCCAACAGTTGCTGTATTTCCTCGTCCTTTTCCTTCGTCAGCTGATGCAAAGCTTGCTGCGATCTTTGCTCCAGAGACGTGCGGATCCTGTCCCGTTCCTCGCTCAATTTCGCAATCGTTTCTTCGCTCTGCTTCTTCAGATTCGTGACGATGTGCTGGAATTCTGCCTCCTGATTGCCGGCTTGCTGAGATAAAGAGTTTTTGATCTCCACGCATCGTTTCTCCGATCGCTCCAGGTCTTTATTCAACCTGGAGACTTGCCCCTTCAGCGCCTCCTGCTGCACCAGCAACTCTTGCTGTTCCTGTTCCAGCTGCTGCCGTTTATCATCCGATGCTTCTAGATTCGTTTGGCTTTCGAATAATATCGCCTCCAGGGATTCCTTCTCCGAGCGAACTCCGGCTAACAGTTCTTGCACTCTTTGAACTTCTTTATCCAAGCTCTCGATGTTGGCCTGCTTCTCCTCGCACTCGTTCACCAGTTCCTCCAAATTCCTATTGATCCTCTGATTGGTTTCCGTCGCTTGTTCGAGCTTTTGCTTCGTCCTCACCAGCTCTTCGTTAAGAGCATCTCTTTTCCGGCCGAGCACCGTCAGCTGGTTGCTCAGATCACCCCTTTCACGCACCACTTGCCCCAATTCCATCTCGATCTTATCTTTTTCGATCTCCAGGAACTTGGCTTTCTCCCCTAAACTTACTTTATCTGATTCGATATCTAATTTGATTTGTTCGGCTTGCAGCAATTCCTTTCGTAACATTTGTATGTCGCCTTGATGATCGCTGCATTGAGCCTGCAGAGCTGCCTTTTCCTCTTCCATTTTCTTCACCAACTCCTGCAGCTTGCTCTTATCTCGCTCCAGGTTGATTACCTGCGCCTCGCACTTTGCAAGAGAATCGCGTCCACCGGAATTCTCTTCCAACATCCGCCGCAATTCCATCTCGTCGCCGGCTTTACTCTTCTCCATTGAACTGATCACGTTGTCCGCCTCGAACTTTTGCTGCTCCAGCATATCGTGCGCCAGATATAGTTTATTCAGCTCTTCCCTAGTCGTCAGCAGTTCCTCGCGGATGCGACTGCAGCGATCCTCCTCCGACCTCAGATTCATCTCGCGCAGATTCGCCTCTTGGTTTAGTCGATCGATCTCCGATTGCAGGAAGATCTTCTCGTCACTGAGCACGTCCACCTCCTTCTGCAACTTGCAGTAGTTCTTCTGCAGATTGTCGTAGTCTCCGTTGAGCGAATCGACCATACCGTTTATTTCGATCCTGTGCCGGTCCAGTGCAAGCTTTTCGGCCTTCACCGCTTCAAGGTTCTTCTGCAGACTTTCACGCTCTTGCAACAATTGGCTGCATTGAGCTTTGCTGCTGTCCAACTGCGAGACGAGTTCTTTCACGCGATGCTCTAAAGTGGACGCTGTTTCTTCGGAATGCTCGCATTGCTTCCTCACGAGCAGGAATTGTTCCCGATTCGATTGCAGCTTCACCTGCAGCTCGTGTATGAATGATTGGTACTTGTGCAGGGCGGCTTGCACTGCGGATATCGTGCTCTCGGCGAAAGCGGCGCTGGAGTGTGGAAGGCTGCGACCGCGTTTCGGGCTCCTGATGGAATAATTGTTAAAATTCGTACAGATTCGAGTTATGATTGATTTACTTTTGAGGGATCGGCGTCGAGGCGCTGAGATGGATGTGCGTCGGTTGGCTCAGATCGACGACGTCTTTCGTCTCGGCGTCTTGGATGAGAGCGTGCGCGATGTCGCGCAAAGCGTTCTGCAACAATTCCACCTCATCCTGCAGCCTCATCACTTGTCCAACGTTGTGCTCCGCGTCCGAGCATCTCTCCTCGAGATTGTGGACCTCCCTCAGCAGCTGCTGGATCTTCTCCTCTTTGCCTTTCAGCTCCTGCTGTTGCGTCCCAATCTGGTTGCCCAGCGAATCCATGCGCGCCTTCAGCTCGACGTTTTCCAAATTGAAGTTGGGCCGTTCGATCATCTGAAAAGCGAAAATTTTACTTCGAAATTCAATTGAATATTTATATATGTTTTGCGCTCACGCTGTTTAGAGATTCTGCAAAGTTCTTGTCCATCCTGCCGCAGGCGTACGTCATGTCTCGTCCGAAGCCGCCGATCTCCGTCTTCAGTTTGGTGAGGTCCCTCTCGGTGGAGCTCTGAACATCCATGAAGAGTCGCTTCACGGAAACGACGTCGCGCCACAGGTTGAGCAGTCTGCTGTGTTCGGTGCTGTAGTAATCGTTGAAGGCCTGCTCCTCGTCCTTCCACTCGTCCTCCTTGATCAGCATCTCTTCGCGTAGTTCCTCGAATTGGTTCGTCAATTTCTGCAGGTCTCCGGTTAATTCCTCGTTCGTTTGATGCGATTCCTCCAGCTGATCTCGCAGCGTGCGGTTCTGCTGGATCAGCTTTTCGCATCTGATTCAATTCGATTCAATTACGTAAACATTGTTGTAATTTGTATGAAGCGATTGTTGTTTTACCTAGTGCGCTCCTCGTCGAGCTTCCTGAGCGCCACGTCCAGATCGGTGATGCGCTCTTCGTGTATCTCTTTGAGATGCTGCTGGGCCTGTTCCAAGGCAGAACTAGGTGCAGCCGAAAGAGAGAGATTCGGCCTTCTCGGCGTTGCTAATGTTGTAGACGTATCTACATATGGAACACTGGTATCGGTCATCTGGGCCTCGAGGTCCGCGCATCTTTGCTTGTACTGTAAAACCTTTGCAAAACATCATATTATTAACAGCATCTTCGATAGATGAATGCGCACCTTCGCCTGCAGCCTGCTGACTAGCGTGGCCTGATTCTGCTGGGCCTGTCTGTAGGTGTCCAATCTCTTCCTGTAGAGAGAGGCCTCGTCCTGCAGCCTCTGTCGCAGATCGGTGTTCTGACGGGCCAGGTCTTCGTCGCTGCTTCCGCCGCCCCCATCACCGCGCAGTCGACCCCCAGCGCTTCCGCCGATGCCGCTGCTCGACTACAAAACAAACAATTTCCATTAACAACAACAACATCATCAACGTTATTCTATTCTTACATCTGTTCTCGATTTCGGCCTGTACGGAGGCGGCCTCCTCGCGCTGCTTCTGTCGGACATCTCCTCGGCTTTCTTCGCCGGCGGCTGCAACACAAAACCATGTATCTGCTATCTCACCCTTCCTACACCACCCGAAGAGGTAAACAACCACTCATGTGTGTGTGTATGTACGTATATGTGTTTCGTAACCCATGGCAATGGGGTGGAGGAGGTGGAACGACGGTTGTACCAGGTGGAGCGGATCGCGTGCTCAGCTCATTCCTTATCCGGGGCAAAAGCAACCCTCGCCGAAAGAGCGAAAAGAAAGAAAGGGGGGCACACACACATACACGCCGCATAAACAACAGACATATAAAACCTCTGATTTCATTTTCATTCATGATTTTCCATCGCGAATAATAATAAAATTTGATCTGTTCGAAAAGCGTTTCAATCTTGGATCTAGAATTCGAAGATCTAACAAAGAAATGAACAAACAAAAATATGTTTTTTAATCAAAAGGTCTTTGCTAACTGACA